TTTCTGTGGAGTTCTGTCATAATTCTCACTGAACAGCTGTCTTAGGGCCCCTACACACAAGGGAAGCATTTGTTGAATAGGACCTATAAAATATGTTTTAATGGCAGAGCGGTATAAAGTATCTGACTAATACTTACTCTTAGTAGTATGTCAAGTATTATTTTGGGGAATCTGTACTTTACTTGAGTTCTGTTAAAACCAAATATGTTTACCGGTACTCATTTTACTCCATTACAATTTCATCCAATCTTAAAAGTAACAAAGCACATATGTCATACACAGTGCTGGGTAGTGACTGATTAAATTAATCAGGATTACGTAATTAGATTCCAAAAATGTTGTACTTGTAATTAGATTACATCATTTTTTTAAATGCTCATAATTAGATTACAGTTACTTTTTTATACAGTAGATGACATGATTACATGTTATTCATGCGATGCAATGGCATTAAAGTATTCATAATCTCTAATTCTTCTTTTTACTCTTTAATTCTGCTTTCCAAATTAAGTACTTATTGTGTGTCAAACTGTTTAGCTTTGAATATATTCACAATATAAAATGGCCATGTAAATAAATTTGTGATGCTTCTAAATTTGGGCACAAAAGCACCTCTCAGTTACACCATGTATGAGATTAATAATTATGCAAATTACTAACCACTGCTGACATATAGCTGTGAAACATGCAGTGACCTTCACAAATTATTGACTTAGAATAAAGTCTGTACATAAATATTTAAAACCTGGAAAACTTTGAATGTATAATGTCATTGCTGTTTTCATGTTTATTATTATTTGTTCATGCAGGGATTCCTGAGATTTTAAGTAAAATTTTCAATCATTTAACACATTTGCATGTTCACACAGTACTCTGGTGTTGGATAATGGTCACATTGACATGCAGGTAAAAAAAAAAATATATATATATATATATATATATATATATATATATATATATATATATATATATATATATTTATGCATTTATTTTATATTTCATAGCTTTTGATAAACTCATAATGCCCCTGCAGTTCTTTCATTAACCTCAGTTTGGGAAGCCCTGCCATAATGTAATGCTTAATGCAAAATATTTTCTTTCTCTTTGTTTTCTGTTTATAAAAATAATCCCATTCAAAACTAAGTGATGTCAAACAAGTTAGGTCAAAAGTAATCTAAAAGTAATGTTTTCTTTTTAAATATGATACACAATAATCCATTTCAAAGTGATGAACGAGGTCAAAAGTAATCTAAAAGTAGTCAGAATACATTACCTAAAATGCGTGATCTAGATTACATTACTAACTACAATTTTCAGCAACAGACTACAATTTGCAAGTAACCTAGCACTGGTCATACATCACTATGACTTAAATCTCTCCCAAATGATTTGATACATTTTTTTTTTTTTTTCTTTATCATGATGTGACTAAATAAATTTAACTTGCCTTTTATCTAAACAGCCAAGTCTACGGAATCCCTAAAGGGACGTGGTGGTGGAAAAAATTTGGGATTGCAGATTTTATTTATTTTTTTAAATCTTTTGCGTTCCCTCGCAAAGATATTTGCGTTCCCACGCAAAACCTGTTGTGAGCTCGGACAGACACTTCCTGTTTAATGTCCCGCTGGCAGTGTTTCAGCAGTACGATTTCTATAACTTAACATCGCACATCCAGCGATGTGACTACCGTGGATGCCCACATTAAGATGTTGATGCTGAAACGATAATATCGTGCAGGCCTATTTGTCACATTTGTAAAAACCCTTGCGTTCTCCCTCTACGCTCTTGTGACACACTATTGAAATCAATCAATGTTACAGGATTCTCTGACGCAGTATAAAAGTGTGCAGGCGCCTTCAATCTCATCCAGCTTTTTACAACCCACACAAGGTTACTCTACATGTCTTGGCCTTTTTACACTGTTTGAGCAATACAGCTGCCATATGAACACATTTGAGAATAATGAATTTTTAACCATAAGTCTATATTTAATGACATCAGTCTTGCATGGATTCATCTGGAGCAAATGTGTAAGCAACGACAGATGCAATAACAGTCTCTGTCGTAGTCCAATGAAAGGAGCACACTTCTCCCTGACCTCTCCTGATGTTTCACTGGGACTTCAGAAATGGCACTCACAGACCATTCAAAAGTCCCTTAAGGGAGAAGCTTTCTGCAATTCTGCGAAGAGTCTCAAAAAACACTGAAATAAACCATTCGTCTCGAAAAAGGGTCAGACCTCAGGAAAAAGATAGAGCTATCGGCTCAGACAAGCCTTCCTCTAATGACTCATTCAATGAGGCATGACTAATAGCTGTATATTTAACCCAGAAAGAAAAAAAATTAGCGAGGATTATGCGTCTAGCATCTTAGGATGGCTTTGCAGGGTTCAGTAAAATTTCATGATGAAAATTAATATCCAAAAAATATACAGAGCCAATGACAACTCCGTGAGGCTGAAAGTGTTTCTTAAATATAAACAAATACAAAACCCTTCAGAATGTGTTCATTTACATAGGCTAACCTATGTCGTATAATATTCAAAACACAATCAGTTATGTCATTAGCATAACGAGAATTCATTACATGTTTGTTCATTGAAAAGGTTACTAATAAATCACTGGTTCACACACTGTCGAGACATATCAGAAGCCTGATCTCTGCATCGCACCATTCTTGAGAATGGACGTCGCATTTGGTTGTCTCTTAATGTGAGCTTCACAGCCGATACTAGAGTACAGCCCCATTATTCACAGAAAGGAACATCTCTTACACTCCCTTCTACATTTTTCAGGACTAAAATGCACATGTGTCAGAAGAATCTTTCAAAGGACATTGAACTATCATTTCTATGCACTATGCCTGGTGACAACAGGGGGACAAGAGTAAATATAAAAAAATATATACAGTATGTAGGGCTACTATTAAAAAAATCTAAACAAAATCACCAATAACCCCAATTTTTCCAAAGTAATAAAAACAACAACTATGTATTGGTAACTAGCCATGTTTTGGATAAATCATGGTTACATTTTGTCTTAGGATATTATTCTGGTACTCAATCAAGTTTATATATGGGCTTCTTAAACCATATTTAATCACACTATAGGCTTCAAAGGAAAGAAGCATCACTTTAAAGTAAGTCAAAGTAAAATCTGCCCAAACATGAAGCAAGGATAGTGTCAAGCAGGCAGATTTTTATAACATTACCATATGCACAAGCCAGATTTTCGCAGCATGCATATTTCATTCCACCCATACATACACCAATCTATTTTTAAAGATCATTTAATTAAAACAAATCCTTTCATCATAACAGCGTCAGTGTTGAGTTGAGATTGTGACCTCCAAGCATTCAGAGACGCTAAAGAGATTTATGGAGGATTGAGAGCCAGCGTATTGATTGGTGCAGTTAAGCAGATCTAAAAGTTCACAATGCATGGACTGCAGCCAAGAAGAACAAAACATTTCTTTGGCATAAGCGGTTTCCTTGTGCAAATTATTAAAGATCAATGGCACCAAGGGGTGGGTTCTAAGAAAATATTAGATTAATAACAAATTAATCACATTTTATTGATGTTATATACCAACCATAATGAGATCTATAATTGTCTCTCTACCTAAAATCTAATTGCATATATTGAAACATGCAATTCTTCATATATTTCATATATTTTAGTCAGGGTCCAAAATTAAAAAATAAATATATAAATAAATATCCAAGATATTTCACAGGCAAAAAGTTCCCTGTAATGAATTCATCTTATCTAGCAGATGTGCTATGATATATTGTGTATTATTAACAAATACTGCAGTTATACAGTACAAATATTGTTTAGACTATTTCACTTATTTAAAAGACATATAAATGGATGGCACAAATGGATGGCATTCTCTGTGCTTATAGCCTGAAAATAAGAAATAAATACCTTATAAATAAAACGCCCACTTAAAATGAATTAGTTTTGATAAATATTTTTTTTTTATTAAGAGGCAATATTTGCTAAATATGATTTTGGTCTGAATGACTGACATGAAAAGGAACTGATTGATGAAATCTTTGCATTTAATGATATTTGTTGGTGTCAACAATTAAAAAAGTCAAGGAATACACTATTACAGTAGCCTATATCTAAATCACTAATTTTTCTCTTTTTTTAAATCAGATTTCCTACACTTAAACTAAACTAAGAACATGTCAAATACATTTAGCTATTTCCTCTTATAATACAATATAATCAAACATTACATAATTGCAATAACACAAAAACTACAGCCATTCAAATCTGCAAGACATCTACTGACCCTTTTGTTTGCATTGCAGGGATTAAATACACCTACCAATAATAAGTTAAATATTAAATTCCAGTTCCCAAAAGTTAAAAAGTCATGCATGTTTATCACAGCAGACAGAACAAAAGTGGCACAAAATGCTCGTTTTAATGTCAAATCCTTTCAATCCTTGAGTTTAATCTCCTTTAGAAATTGTGGTTGTAAATACACACAGCCTTTGTTGACAAAAAGAAATCCTGAAGATTATTTTGGATTTAACCATCAAAGTTGAGCTGAAAGTTTTGAGCCACCAGTGCGCTTGAACTCTCAATGGCGGGACACCTGAAGAAACCCAGTAGCCTGCTATGCAATCTTTATAATCCGTGATCTAAAATATAAACTGTATAGCTGTTACGTTAGATTCAAAGCAGCTTTGTGTCTCTATAAACACTTTAAAAGGTGAATATTGCGTGATTTGACTTTCATTTCCTTAGTGGTCGTGTGAGGGTTAAGTTACAAGTTCTGACAGCAAATACATTATAGGCTAACTATTACACTTGAATCATTATTGTATTAAAATCGACAAATAGAATAGCACAGTTAGTCTTATGTTCTTAAAATGCTTTAAGAACTTCTAGAAGTGCTCCTTAAAGCGGAATATTCCCTCCAACTTTGGGAAAAAATGAACTTTAAAATTATAATCATGAAAAAATAAAATAATAACTCACCTCTTGCAAATTTCGTCAAACATACTCCAATAAGAGGCAGTAGAATCAGCAGTCTACATGACAAGCTCAGTAATGGGTCCATTCCAGCAGGAGAGGCAATCACACGCGCTCAGAGAAATGTGGACTAGTTAAGTATGCTGTAGTTTACTTTCTGGCTCCAAATAGTCAACTACTCCAAGTATTCATTGACTGCGCGGTAATAATATCACCCACTTCCGGGTGACAGTTCGTTCTGGTAAAGTGTTCTAAAGAATTTCATGATTCTGATTCCCTTTAACTATTCCGGCTCCACTTACGAATCTTTTAGTAGCCTACTTTTGAAAAAAAAAAAATAGATTTGTAAGAAAGATCCGTCTGTTGCTACATTCATTTTAGAGTTCAGAATAAATAACACATAGTAATACAAATAATTCAAAGATTATTTTACAGACTTTTTAATCTACTCTTATGTATAAGCATGCAGTCAAATTGTTCCTATAGGATATAAAAAAAAAAAAAAAATTATAGTAGGCTAATTTATTCACATTCTTAATAAAAAATACAGATTACAGCTAAATGTGTAGACTATCTTTAAGTTCTAATTAGAATAATTTATTCAAGTTTTGTGAGCCATTAGTTCTCGGTTCATTTCGAGTCGGACATTATAATTTAATAACTCATTAATAGCCTACACTATCGACAATAATATAACTTGTGGTTAATTTTTTTTTATTCTCTAAAAAGAGCCGGATCTTATATGAGTCATTTTTTCGGGAATCGAACTACACTGGTCACGTCGTAGGCTTGATCCACTTAAAAATAAAATATCCGACTCAAAAGAGACATTCGTTTGGGAATCGAACTACGCTAGTCGCGCTGTACGTTTTGACTCACTCAAATGAACAAGTTCATAAGAGTCATTTGTTAAGGAATCAGTCCTCACTGGTTCTGCCGTAGGTTTTGCTTAACTAAAATGAATCAGCTCATTCAAAGTGATGCCCCCACCCCCCCATCCCACTCCCCACTCCCCCACCCCACTCCCCACTCCCCCACCCCACTCCCCACTCCCCACTCCCCCACCCCACTCCCCACTCCCCACTCCCCACTCCCTCCACATACACACCACCACCACACACCCATGATAGTGATAACCCTGATTGAGGCCATGACACTCATCTTACAGGAAATGGATTTATATTCTTTAGTGACTCACAGCTTTAGCTTGGCCTTTTGAATAGATGGTCTTTAGGGGAATTATGATTCACTTTTAGAGGAAGTATAAACCTAAATGAAACTTAGACACTTATATCCACTAAAAACATTAAAATTAAAGTTATAATTTAAGATAACATATTTAAAATTATATAATTTATAAATTATATTTAAGAAAACAGCTGGTGTTTGCCAAAGTGTTGTACAACACAGGGTCACAATAAAATAAGTAAAAACATATGATGCAACATATAACAGCTCTTATATGTTTGGACCTGCCTCATATAGAGGCAAATTATTCCAGAGTTCCGGGGCAGCAACCACAATAATACAGTCTCCCCGGCTCTTCAACCGTACTCTAGAAATGACCAAAAGCAAATGGTCGGCAGATTTGAGTGCTCTTGATGGAGCATATACGGCTGTATTAAACCCGAGAGATATTTTGAAGCTAGCCCATTTAAAGATTTAAACACAGACTCTAAAATCTTAAAATCAATCCTAACATAAACTGGAGGCCAATGGAGGGAGGCCAATATGGGTGAACTGTGTTCACATTTGGTTTTAAAGTGCCCAAATCCATATGCTATGCTTCACATGCATCACTAGGTCCAAAAGCAATGATTTCAATTTTTTTTTTAAATGAAGGCCATCAAGGCTTAAATATCCTCAAACCACTTCAACAATGGTTTTAGAGATAGAGAGTTTGTATCTTTCCATTTCAAGGGCAGATAAAGTTGCATATCATCTAGCAATGAAACGAGATGCCTTCATTTTTAAGAATGGACCCTAAAAAAGTATAGTTGCAAATGTTGCAGTGATGTCCAAAGACAATCACCTAAAGCACTCTAATGGATTTTTATGGGCCAACGTATTTATTCAGCAATGGGAGAAAAATACTGTGAAGATTCAAGATTGGAGACACTTTAAAGGGTTAGTTCACTCAAACATGAAAATTCTGTCATTAATTACTCACCCTCAAGTCATTCCAAACCCATAAGACTTTTGTTCATGTTTGGAACACAAATGAAGATATTTTTGATAAAATCTTAAATCTCTCCTTCATTGACAGTCTATGCAACTTTGACGCTTCAAAAAGTTCATAAAAAGATCGTAAAACTAATCCATATGAATTGAGTGGTTTAAACCACATTTTCTGGAGAGGCTCGATCACTTTATATGATGAACAAATTTAATTCAGGCTTTTATTCACATAAACATTGATCAGCTAACATAAACAGAAGCTAAACCGAACCTGCTTGAATGAACCTCATTGGTTCTTGCGGAAGCTCAAACGTGATGCGCAAAACGAGAATGAACCTCATTGGTTCTCGCACGTCAAGCAAACATGCATGAGCTTTCGATTACCATAACTGATGTGTGTTGTTGAATGTTTATATGTGAATAAAAGCCTTGGAACGACATGAAGGTGGGTAATTAAAGGTTCTCTAAGCGATCCTGGGTGACGTCACTTCTTGTTGACAACTATTGTCAAACAAAACGGAGGCTAGCTAGACCCTCCCTCCTCCTCATCCGCACACTAACCCCCCAAACCACACCCCCAAACCCTTCTTGTCGTCATTGGCTGGAACAGTTTGTTATGTTTCGTGGTGCAGGTAAGCCCAGTTTGTTTTTGTTGCCGTTTGTGGAGCCTGGGGTGTCTGCAGAGACCGCGTTTCTTTACAGTGTGTTCAGGGGACAGGCAGCCAGCGGATAGTGAGGAAATGTTTGCTGTATGTGACAAAAAAAGTTTTGGCCTAAAAAACGCGTGACATCGCTTAGAGCACCTTTAATGACAGAATTTAATTATAAAGGCATAATAAAAAAATACATTAACTTTTCTTTATCTACATACATGCACAATTACAGTTTATACACAGACACAATAAACCTGTGCAGTGTCCTGATTATGTTTTCTTTAGAGTTTTAGTGGATTAGCACAACCACAAGTTCTGTGTGATTGTTTGCAAAATGGGAAAACAATGTGATTCTGATTTGTGTGTAGTTAAGGCATGAAGTTAAAAGTGTTATTCTGCTTTGTGTAATGCATTATTTGAACAGTCGGGAATGTATTTTCTTCTGGTCGCCAGATCTGTTTTTGTCTGCCTGTCTCTGGCTGTGTTCCTTTTTTTAGTTAAGTGTTGGTCAGGTCTTCCAGGTTTTCTATTTTGTAAGATAAATAGACAGACCACATTCCAATTCAGTCTGTTTATTTGTTGTTTCTTTCTCAATTTTGTGTTTTCCTTTTGTTGATAGAGTTTTTATACTGTGGCGGATCCTGCCATGTTTTGATTTGTGACCTTAATACCAACCTTTTTTCATTTAGGCCTATTTCTATTTCACCTCCACTTCTTCCTCAACTGTAAACAGTCATCATAATATTTGCAGTCTGCTTTTTCTTTTAGAGTGTAAGGTTTACAAAAAATGTAATCTAAATTTTCAGGTTTTAAAAACGGTAAAAATATAAATGTATATGACTAATCAACCATACTTAGTTTGGATACATAAACAAAAGTTATTTCTACTGGTCAGATTAAGTAGAAATAGCTTCTTAATGTAAATAACTGCACATATTCATCTTTACAGTATTCTAAAATGGAAAAGTGAGAACTTTTCTTTGGCCTTGTTGTTCTCACGATACCACAAACCTTGCTTTTTTCATTAGCCTCAAAAAATGCGTATCAAAATATTCCATCTCGATTCAGACCCTTATCCCACGTGAAATTTTATACTGCAATCATAACATCTCAATGCAAAAATGACAAATTTACAGACGTGAGCTTGATTTATACTTTATGGTCTCAGGTGCCTCTCATTACATCAGCAGGAAAGTATGATTAAATGTTCCACCACCGTCACTCAGGATATTATAGAGCAAAATAATATAGCCAACTGTTAAAATTACACTGCCCTAGATAGTTACTGTATTCACATAGACATATAGATAGAGAGATAGACAGACAGACAGATGTTTTTAGTGGAAGTGAGCTCCTCATTGGATGTTATTGAGATGTGTTTATTCCGCTGAGAGACGTAAAACATTCTGGATGGTGCATGTGTCTGGATAATGTTTTTGTGGATGCGTCCTCGTTCATCTCAGATGGGTCCCACAGACTGGTGTTTACGTGAAGGCAGGTTTGAAAATATGATTGGGGCAGGCGTGGTCTCATTCCCCTGTGCTGTGCTGGCCGATGTTGCCTGGAAACAGATGGAAAATCACAGTCCATCATGCATTTATGGTGGTGATTACCTTGAATATAAGCCTGCAAGGCCACATTCAATTAGCTTGCAACCACAATAACTTGAAGTTTACACCAAGTAATGTACCAGGTAAAGTGACACTTGTAGACATCCTGCTGAGAATTAGTCAGTAAGAAAATGTAGCGTTTTTAGCTGAAATTGCACCATTAAAAAATGAGTCTTGTGATTCGATCCAAATTACTTACATTGTATTTGCCACCTATATGTCCACACTATCCCTTTTCACATCATCAGTGTTGGGGGTAACGCATAACAAGTAATCATATTACTTTTTCAAAGTAACTAGTAAAGTAATGCATTACTTTTAAATTTACAAAATAGCTGAGGTACTTTTTCAAATAAGTAACTCAAGTTACTTTGTTTTCCCATTTATTGACTGACACCTCTCCTGTCCCCATGTTGAGAGAAATCAGGAGTCCCGGTAAGTGCAGAAGCGTTGTGTGCGCTGTGTAAACATGATGGTTATTGTAGTTCTAGACTAAATGTGAGCTGGCATTTACTCTTCTCGCTTGCACAAAAACAGATTCAGTATTCCTCAAAATAAATAAAAACTGTGAATCCAGAATGGCAGCACAGCTGTTTGAGCTGCACCCTCTAACTGTTCAGACATGAATTTGCATTTCCTTCAGCCTGAGGCTTATTAATTTCACTTTTGGTGTAAAAGGGCCTTTACATTTGCCAGAAATAAAACGTATATATCTATATGAAGACTTCAGATGCAAAAGCCTCTAAG